TGTTTGAAATGAAGCCGATTGTTGCTCACTTGCTGTAGAGACATCAATAGAGGTTGCATACAAAGTTGTGGTTACTTGTAGAGACATCAGCTGAAGTGTTCGCATGTGTTTTTTTACTTGCTCTGTAGTTAATGTTGTAACTACAGTCCTACTAACCACTGATTCTGCTGTGGTTGCCTCCTATGGTATTCCCTGCATTCTTGTTGGGGATTTAGTAGTGATTGGTTACTGTACTTGTGAGCAATCTCGAGAGGAACTCACTGGTTGTTACAGATATAGTCAGTTGCTGCTCAGTTGTGGTAGGGACGTCAATGGAGGACACATAATGAGTTGTAGGTACATGGTGTGTAATTAATGCAAGTAATAATTGAGCTGTGTTGCTGTGGGACCAGCAGTCTGTGCGCCAATCTTCAGGGTTCAAGGTTAATGAATAAGCAGCTAAAGGTTACTTTAACTCCAGAGTTTCAGAACATTCATTGTTAAAACTGTGCTAGAACGATCAAGCAGAGTCTTATTTTACTGCAAAGGAGGATTATTTTATTTTTACCTAAAAATATAATTCCTCTGTGGTGTCACAACAGGGCAGTAGAAGAGCCACATGTTGCTGACCCCTGTTCAAACATCTTAAATGTAACTAATAATGATTCAGTTATAGATGAAAATGTGCTTATGAGCATCTCTGTTATGATATCTGATGGATGTTTAAGTTGATTGTTGCTCATTTGTTTCAGAAGCATCAGTAAAGGTTGGTTCAGTGAAAACTGACTGTGGAAAAATTAGTTTGTTGTGTGCAGACTTGTTACTTTTTCTGTAGATACCGAAATTTCTTCAGGAAATGTTGGGGTTTCAGTGGTGCTGATTGATGACTGTTCAGTTGTTGTGTTTTATACAGTTGTGTACTGTACAGTCAGGTGTTGTTGCTAATTCAGCCTGAAGCCCAGCTGCCCGTGGGCTGTATGTGTCACTGAAAGTACTGAATATATTGGGTAACACTTTATAATAAGGGTACATAAACTGGCAGTAATTAAGGCATTAACTAATGAATAACTAATCAGAAAGTAATGAGTCATTAATCAGGAACAAATGAATAAGTCATATATTAACAACCACAAGGCTAAATTACTAACGCATGTACTAATGAATGAAGATGAAGGTAATAAAGGCTTTATTCAGTGCCTGAATTTATTAGGAATTCATGTGTTAATTAATGTTGTCACAAGATCCCCCTGAGACACAGTGCTCTGGAATATTATGCCTATCAAAGTCAACTGTTTTTTTTTTTTATAGCTCCATCCTCTCATCATCTTGTCCTTCTTCTCCATCACGTTGTGTAAGCAGCCCTTGTATTTGTCTGTTTCTATCTGTCAGGTCTTGAGTTTATTGTTTTTGATTTCTTATGTTACCTCGTCTGTTTCTACCCACATAGTGACTGTTTAATAAAATTAAAAGCTTACACTGACATTGTTTTGCAGGTAGTCCTCATTTGTGACAGTTGCCATAGTTTTAATTCATCTTTCATGTTAATAATATGACACGTTTTAACTCCTGTATTGATACACAGAGCCTCATGAGGGAATGGTTTAGCCTACAGTTACCACTGAACTCAGAAATGAGTTTATTATTGGAGTGTCTTTCTCCTGGGGTCATAAGAATCCTTAATTGTATGCACATTTTTGTGCTTTCCCAGATCTAGTACACCAGATTGAACTCAACTGCTAATTTACAAGCTCCTGTTGTGCTGGTTGAGGTGTGTCAGAGTGAGAAAAATACAAAACTATGCAGTGTCAATTCTCAATTCACTATAAAGAAAGCAGTGATTACTGATGACTCATGATGAATACATAATGTTGGTGCCCCCTAAAGTAAAGTGATTAAGCAATCACACTTTATTACTCATTAAATAGTGATACTTCATGATGAATTCATAATGTTTGTGCCCCCTAAAGTAAAGTGATGACCCAGTCACACTTTATTACTCATTAAATACTGATTCTTCATAATGAATTCATGCTTTTGCCCCTGAAAGTGATGAGTGAATCACACTTTATTACTTATTATATACTAATTCTTCATGATGAGTTCATGAGCTAATAAAATAGCAGGGGTTAATCATTTTACTTACTAAACTGACAGTCATTCTTTTGCCCTCTCAAGAACAGTGATGAAGGATAAGTAGCTACAATATGGCTCATATGAAAACATGACATTGACGAAATTCACAGGAATAAAAAAGCATCTTTTATTATCATCTTATGGCTTCTACACAATACACAGAACCAGAGCACGTGAATCTGTCACTGTAACACGGAAAATGCAGAGAAACCAATACATACTGGTTCTGTAGTTCCACGAACATCTGTAAAACGGACAGAACTGCTAACCTAGCTAATTAGAGTCACGAAGATATTCATACTGCAGCGGTGTTTCCAAATAACTCACACAAGTTGAAGATCGAGTCTGTGACTCAGCTTTACTGAAAAACTCAGAACGGAGTACAAAAGAAAGGGGAGAATACGGCGCTAGGTTAGCGCTCGGCAGTTAGCGCGCCCTCTCGCTGTCTCAGCTCAGTCTGTTTACTACTGGGCCCTGTGAAGCACTGCCACAGCATACATAGCCCTTCACAATAAGAGTCCCTGTCAAAGGAGGAATAACAAATGAACCAAGCAGCATAAAATTAACATGTGATTTTAACCACACAGAATAGACGCGCCTGACGCCACATATTACTACTACAATCACACGACACGACGTTATTGCAAATAACTAAGCACCAAACCAAATATTTAAGCTACTTTATAACGAATTTAGAAATAATAGTTCCTGCAAATCCGTTCTGTTTCATCACAGATAACAGCTGCATGTTTTACACCTTAGTCTAAAAAGAGGTGAGGCACGAACATACATACTAGCACCCAGACAACAATACCACATGTAAATATAATATCTGCGATGTAAATTACGTATATAATACAGTATGCATATGCATAACTCACCTTTAAAAGTAAGAAAAATGCGAAATTTTGCAAAAAGGCGAAAAGAGGAATATTTAATTTTTTTTAATTATTTCAATTATTTTCATTCGCTGCTCTTAAACGTTGTACTAGAGATATTCACTCAAGACTTTATGGCCGCTTGACATATAGTATTTAACGCACTTACTGCCATTTACTAGCGAAGAAAAATAGCAGTAATTTCCAGCTGCGGAAACAGTTTAAGTGTTACATTGCAAAATGCTGTGTTTCCATTAATAAAACATTTAGATATAGCAATTTTTTTTAAAAGAATAATAGATGTATAATGGGAAACACATTTTCATTTTCTGAAGGTGGTATTTCTCAGAATAACTGTGGCATATATTAAGATAATTCACAGTTTTAATTAAATCAAAAGCCTATTTTCGGTAAATAAACTAGTTTACAGTTTATCAAACATACAACAGTTTATGTTTCTGTTGTAACAGTATGACATTGCAGTATGACATAGGTAATCATAAACTGCATGAATAGAATGAAACTAACAGAGCTTCTGGCAGTTCACCAATGTGTACTAACATTCTTTTTGCATGCTTAATTAACACATGAATTCCTAATTAATTCAGGCACTGAATAAAGCCTTTATTACCTTTATCTTCATTCATTAGTACATGCGTTAGTAATTTAGTCTTGTGGTTGTTAATATATGACTTATTCATTTGTTCCTGATTAATGACTCATTACTTTCTGATTGTTATTCATTAGTAAATGCCTTAATTACTGCCAGTTCATGTACCCTTATTATAAAGTGTTACCATATATTCTAATGAAGCTTATTTTGTCCACTCATACAGCTTAACCACACAATACTCTACATATATAAATAACTACACAAAGGAATGCAATTGATATTTTAATATTTACACAGCCCTAATAACTAAATATTTATGACTACAGGGTTTGTATCTGAAACAGACTGATGACATTTCCATTTTAGGTTTATTTGCATCCAGAACCTTACAGTCCTAAACACAATATCAGCTCTCAGAATTAAAGGTTGTGTCTGCATTTGGTTCTTTATGGAAAAGTCTATTTTCAAATATCCTAGAATTTTCAGAAATATCCTCGAACATGATCAAAAGTATCTCAAGGCACTGACTTTTTAAGATATGAAAGTTTAATGTATATAAGATTTTTTATATTTTTATTTTGAAAGTGAAATCATTGAGCTTCAATGTCTCAAAAGTGCACTGAACCAAATAGAACCTTATAATGAGCCCATGAAATGGAGAGTGACAACAAAAAGTGACCAGATATCCTTGCCTCTGATACCAAAACTACCAAGGGAAGAAACACTGTGTCTGTCGATGAGCTAGAAATAAATAAAAACTTTCTTCAGTGTGCTAGAGTACAAAACCAAAACAGCAAAAAAGGTGTAACTACCAAATTATTCATGGACTGCACTGAAATTGAAAACCTTAATCTCAGTTTCCATATAATTTCTTGAGAAAAGCCAAGCTATGGTCTGTTTAGTCTATTTTTCTCAAGGCTGTGCAAACACTAATAATGACTGCCCCCTGCTCTTGAATGATCAAAATCCCATAAAAATCTTAATGTTGTACTTCCAAGCCCAACAGTCAGCTCTATTGACGAGAAAGAGCACCAGGCAGCTATGCCTCATATGTATACGGTGTGGTCCAAACGTCTGAGACCACACTGAAAATCTGGGATATTATCCTCCTGGGTCACGAGGGGCGCTAGAGCCTATCCCCGTGCTCACTTGACGGAAGACAGGAAACACTCTGAACACGTTCAAACTGTGAATTGATCAACTTAATTGCATGTAAAGTAGAATTATTTTAGATTTATAATTATTACTTTATCAAACCCTATGTTTGTCAAAACTGGAAAGTTGTCTTTAACATTTTAACACAATATTAATTGCCATAAGATGCCTGCAGTAAATCTTTATTTAAAGGGAAAAAATCCAAATTAACACATTATTACAGACATTCCAGACAATTATATTGTCTCACATTTTTTAAAAATGTTTCATTTAACATTAAAATCATTGTCCAGAAGACTCAAAACAGATAAGTGTGCAAACGTTCTGCTTAAAGTTTTGTGCAAAATGTTTATAGATGTATACTGATTAATTACGTTAAATAAATAATGCATCCCATTAAATATAATACAAAAGATAAGAAATTAAATTAACCTATTTAAGACAATACAATCTCCACATTTTACATTTATATTATAGTTATTTGATCATTACAAAAGGGAAGACCTTACATTAAATAAGCCTATTTAAATAACAAACACTCATGATTTACCATAATATTGTTTTAGATTTCTTAAACATGGTCTATTGGAGCCTGCAGAAATGTAATTGTATACTAAGGAAAATTTGGCTAACGTATGTTGGAAAAACAATCATAGATGTTAAGAACATGATTATATATGATATACATTTCTAATACTTGCTTTAACCCTATACTAATATCCTTGATTTGAGGGTTTAATGTAGTAATAGTCCTTGCTCTGTCAAAAGGAAGTAGATCAGGATAAAAGGGAGAAGTAAAGTGACCACTTCTTTGGGTCTGTTCCTTGCTGTTGCACTGTTGGAAGTAGTGTTGGCTGCAGTTTGACTAGCCGTTCTTGTAGTTGTTTGTTTTGTGTTGGTTGTGGTTGCCGCACTGGTGGTTGTACTGGTTTCAGCATTGATGGTTGTAGTGGTGACATTTTGTTGCTCTACAATAAAAATATTAAAACAGAACATGAAGTGCTTAAAATGTAGTATGAATTATGTCATATTCAATTGATATGTAATTATATCAGGTACATACATCAGATACAAAGAGAATGTTCGACTCACCAGCTATAATACTGTATGGAATAATATCCAAGAAGACAGTAGATTCATTAATAGCTGTCTTTAGGGACTGCTCCGTGTCTGTTATGTTGGGCACCACTGTCTGGTTCTCAAAAATCAACTGTGTGGTCACTCCAACTGAGCCAGGCCTAAAAGATCAGAGACAATAATGATGAGTTACCCAGAGTTACTTTGTAAATGAAAAAAATGTATTTGAGTTATTATAATAATTTGAGAAATAATTATCATAAATATATTAAAATTACAACCAAATAGCCAATAGTACCAGTATGTTTACATTATGGTTACCATTTTTACTATTTACAAAATTGTTTTCAACAGGGTGGAGATAAAGATACAATTAAATGGAAATAAACATATTTGATGTTGTGAGATGTAATGTAACTTGCCAAAAGCTGATGATTATGGCTCTTCTGAAGGTCAGAGGGTACATTATTTTGTATCCTCTATTCAGCTGAAAAAGAAAATGAAGTAAAATTAATGTATAAAATAATTATGTTTCAGTAGAGTTTGTAAATTTGGTTTTTTTTTCAGATGAAAAGGTTTTATTATTAATATTACAATACCTCAGTTGTCACATTCTTTGCCAGTATCTGATATTCTGCTGAAGATGGATCACTGTATTCTATGATGAAAACACGAACCATCCTGAAGCGTAGATAAAGGTATCCTTCTTCTTCTTTTGGGGGATCATTAGATACTGTTGTTATTGGGACAGTAATTGTTGTAGTAGTGGTAGTTGTAGCCAGTGGTTTTGTGGTAGCCTTAGAAGTAGTACTTAAAGTTGCAGTTGAGATCAGTTGTTTCAGTGTTGTAGAGGGAGCTTTACTCAGGGTAGTTGAAATCACTTTTGTTGTTGCTAACTCTGTAGTTGTCTGTAGTGAATATTTTGTTGGATTTGTCAGAGTGCTTGATGACTGCAGTAGAGTACGAAATAATGTGGTTGTTGGTGAAGTTCCTCTAGTTGTTGGGAGTGCAGTTGTAGTTTTTACAGGAGTTGATACTGTTAACGGTGTTGTTGTTGAGGCGTAAGTTGACATTGTCGGTCCCAAACTTAACACTTGCTTAACTGAAGTAGGGGCTGATGTACGAGGAGTTGTTGGTCCTACAGTTGATGTCAGACTTTGACTGCTGCTTATTACTGAGTTCCTAGTAGTTGTTTCTCGCACTGTAGTCTCAAATGGTTGGGTTGATTTTGTTACACTTTTAGTTGACGTTGCTACTGAACTCACAAAGGATTCAGGTGAAGTTGTCTGTTGGACTGATTGCTGCTTAGTTGTTGTAGAATGGTTATTTGAAATGACTGTACTCAGAGTTGTTATCTGTTCTTTTCGAACATCTGTGGTGCTTACAATTTCCCGTGTAGTTGCAGTTGTTGTTTTAGGCACTGCAGTCTCAAGTGGTGTTGTTGGGTATTCAGTTGTATTACTTGAAGAATAAGTAATAATTCTATTTTTATCCTCTGCCGTTGAAGAGGACTGTTGCTCCGATGTTTGTGGTGTATACGTTACTTGTTGTGTAGTCGATGTAAGATTTTCACTGGTGCTTATCACTGGTTTTTCTGTGGTTGATGTATGCACTGTAGTCTCCAGAGAAGATACTCTTGCACTTGCTCCTGGAGCTGATGTTGACTGGTGCATAGTTGAAGAGACTTCACTTGAAGTGTTTGTATGCTTAGTTGTTGCTTGTGCTGCTGGAACTACAGTGGTGCTTTCCATTGACTTCGCAATGGTTGTTGCTTTAACTGTTGTCTCAAATAGTGCAGTAGTTGAATTTGGGATTTCACTGATGCCTGTCACTTGTGCTGAAGTTGTGGTTTGTGGAGATTTTGTTGATACAGTTGAAGCTGGTACAGAATTTGTAAGAAATTCAGTTGTGACTGTTGATTGAAGTGAAGTCAGCTGTTGATGTGTTGTTGTAAAAACATGAGTTGAAGTGGATGTATTCAGAATTGCGGCTTGTTCGGTAGTAGGTGCTTTGAAGGTGCTTACTGATGATTGTGCAGTTGTTGTGTTTTGCAGAGCTGGTGCAAGTGTTAGGGTTGGTGATTCAGTTGTTGAAACAGAACTTGTGAAAAATTTAGTTGTTGGAAGTGAAGTCTGTTGCTCAGTGGGAACAGCAGTGGAGGTTACATATTGAGTTGTAGGTACTAGTCTGGTAGTTGATGTTAGAACTAATTCTGTTGAAGCTTGCGAAGCTGATTGTTGCTCAGTTGTAGGCACATTAGTTGATGTGCTTGTGTGCAGAGTTGTTTCTTGTTCTTTGGATGATGTTGGAATTTCAGTTGTACTCCTCAGTGATTGTGCGGTGGCTGTGCTTTGCATGGTTGTTTCAAATGTTGTTTCTGATCGAGTAGCAGTTGTTGAAGAACTTGACAAGAATTCTGTTGTGAATGTTAGAAGAGGAGTTGACCTTGCATAAAATGTTGTAGAAACTTCAGCAGAGGTAGGTGTTACTTGTTCAGTGGGTACAGTCATTTCAGTGATGCTAGTTGATGACTCTGCAGTGGTTGTGCTTTGCAGATTTGTCTTTACTGTTGTGGCTGGGGATTCAGTTGTTGGTGGAACAGAACTTGTGAAGAATTCTGTTATGGTTTTCAAAAGACGAGAAGTGGATTGTTGCTCATTTGTTGTAGAGGCAACAGCTGACGTAGTTGTTGGGGATTCAGTTGTGATTGGTACAGAACTTGTGAGCAATTCACTTGTAATAGTTGATGAAAGTGAAGTCAGTTGGTGTTCATTTGTTGTTACTTGTTCTGTAGTTGATGGAGCTTGAGAAGTGGTTGATTGTTCTGCAGTGGTTGTGTTTTGCGTAATTGTTGAAGGACTTGTTGAGTGTAGCTCAGTTGTTGAAACAAAAGTTGTGAGAAATTCAGTTGTGGTTGTTTGAAGTGAAGCAAGTTGTTGCTCAGTTGGAGCAGCAGTGGAGGTTGCATACTGAGTTGTAGGTAGTAGTTCTGTAGTTGATGTTAGAACTAATTCTGTTGTAGCTGGCGAAGCTGATTGTTGTACAATTGTAGGCACATTAGTTGATGTGCTTGATGGCAGAGTTGTTTCTTGTTCAGTAGATGGTGTTGGAATTTCAGTTGTACCAATCGATTGTGTAGTGATTGTGCTTTGCATGTTTGTTTCAAGGGTTGCTTCTGATTGAGTAGTATTTGTTAGAGAACTTGATGAAAATTCTGTTGTGGTTGTTAGAAGAGAAACTGACCTTTCCTGAAATGCTGTAGAAACCACAGCAGATGTGGGTGTTTGAAGACTTGTTACTTGTTCAGTAGGCACAGAAATTTCAGTGATGTTTGTTGATGACTCTGAAGTGGTTGTGCTTTGCAGATTTGTCTTAAATGTTGTGGTTGGGGATTCAGTTGTTGATGGAACAGAACTTGTGAAGAATTCTGTTACAGTTTTCAAAAGAAGAGAAGTGGATTGGTGCTCATTTGTTGTAGAGACAACATCTGACGTAGCTGTTGGGGATTCGGTTGTGATTGGTACAGAACTTGAGAGCAATTCACTTGTAATAGTGGATGAAAGTGAAGTCAGTTGTTGCTCATTTGTCGTTACTTGTTCTGTAGTTGATGGAGGTTCAGTAGTGATTACTGATGGTACTTCAGTGGTTGTGCTTTGCGGAACTGTTGCAGCAGTTGTTGTAGGTAGTTCAGTTGTTGACACAGAACTTGTGAGAACTTCAGCTGTTGATGTTGCCAGAAGTGAAGTAAGTTGTTGCTCAGTTGAAACATCAGTGGAACCTGCATGCTGAGTTGTAGGTACTAGTACTGTAGTTGATGTTAGAACTAATTCTGTTGTAGTTGGTGAAGCTGATTGTTGTCCAGTTGTAGGCACATCAGTTAATGTGCTTGTGTGCAGAGCTGTTACTTGTTCAGTAGATAGTGTTGGAATTTCAGTTGTACCAATCAGTGATTCTGCAGTGGTTGTGTTTTGCTGAGTTGTTTCAAGGGTTGCTTCTGGTTGAGTAATAGTTGTTAGTGGACTTGTCAATAATTCTGCCATGGTTGTTGTTGGAAGAGAAGTTGACTGCTCCTGAGATACTGTAGTAATATCAGCTGAGGTGGTTGTGGGGAATTCAGTTGTAATTGGTGCAGAACTTGTGAGCAATTCACTTGTAATAGTTGAGGAAAGTGAAGTCAGTTGCTCATTTGTCTTTACTTGTTCTGTAGTTGTTAGAGGTTCTGTAGTGATTACTGATGATTGTTCAGTGGTTGTGCTTTGCAGAACTGTTGCAGCAGTTGTTGTAGGTAGTTCAGTTGTTGACACAGAACTTGTGAGAACTTCAGCTGTGGTTGTTGCCAGAAGCGAAGTCAGTTGTTGCTCAGTTGAAGCATCAGTGGAAGCTGCATACTGAGTTGTAGGTACTAGTACTGTAGTTGATGTTAGAACTAATTCTGTTGTAGTTGGTGAAGCTGATTGTTGTTTGGTTGTAGGCATATCAGTTAATGTGCTTGTGTGCAGAGTTGTTTCTTGTTCAGTAGATAATGTTGGATTTTCAGTTGTACCGATCAGTGTTTCTGCAGTGGTTGTGTTTTGCTGAGTTGTTTCAAGGGTTGTTTCTGGTTGAGTAATAGTTGTTAGTGGACTTGTCAATAATTCTGCCATGGTTGTTGTTGGAAGAGAAGTTGACTGCTCCTGAGATGCTGTAGTAATATCAGCTGAGGTGGTTGTTGGGAATTCAGTTGTAATTGGTTCAGGACTTGTGAGCAATTCACTTGTAATAGTTGAGGAAAGTGAAGTCAGTTGCTCATTTGTCTTTACTTGTTCTGTAGTTGTTAGAGGTTCAGTAGTGATTATTGATGATTGTTCAGTGGTTGTGCTTTGCAGAACTGTTGCAGCAGTTGTTGTAGGTAGTTCAGTTGTTGACACAGAACTTGTGAGAACTTCAGCTGTGGTTGTTGCCAGAAGCGAAGTCAGTTGTTGCTCAGTTGAAGCTTCAGTGGAAGTTGCATACTGAGTTGTAGGTACTAGTACTGTAGTTGATGTTAGAACTAATTCTGTTGTAATTGGTGAAGCTGATTGTTGTTCAGTTGTAGGCACATCAGTTAATGTGCTTGTATGCAGAGTTGTTTCTTGTTCAGTAGATAATGTTGGATTTTCAGTTGTACCAATCAGTGATTCTGCAGTGGTTGTGTTTTGCTGAGTTGTTTCAAGGGTTGTTTCTGGTTGAGTAATAGTTGTTAGTGGACTTGTCAGTAATTCTGCCATGGTTGTTGTTGGAAGAGAAGTTGACTGCTCCTGAGATGCTGTAGTAATATCAGCTGAGGTGGTTGTTGGGAATTCAGTTGTAATTGGTTCAGGACTTGTGAGCAATTCACTTGTAATAGTTGAGGAAAGTGAAGTCAGTTGCTCATTTGTCGTTACTTGTTCTGTAGTTGTTAGAGGTTCTGTAGTGATTATTGATGATTGCTCAGTGGTTGTGCTTTGCAGAACTGTTGCAGCAGTTGTTGTAGGTAGTTCAGTTGTTGGCACAGAACTTGTGAGAACTTCAGCTGTGGTTGTTGCCAGCAGTGAAGTCAGTTGTTGCTCAGTTGAAGCTTCAGTGGAAGTTGCATACTGAGTTGTAGGTACTAGTACTGTAGTTGATGTTAGAACTAATTCTGTTGTAATTGGTGAAGCTGATTGTTGTTCGGTTGTAGGCACATCGGTTAATGTGCTTGTGTGCAAAGTTGTTTCTTGTTCAGTAGATAATGTTGGATTTTCAGTTGTACCGATCAGTGTTTCTGAAGTGAATGTGTTTTGCTGAGTTGTATCAAGGGTTGTTTCTGGTTGAGTAATAGTTGTTAGTGGACTTGTCAATAATTCTGCAATGGTTGTTGTTGGAAGAGAAGTTGACTGCTCCTGAGATGCTGTAGTAATATCAGCTGAGGTGGTTGTTGGGAATTCAGTTGTAATTGGTTCAGGACTTGTGAGCAATTCACTTGTAATAGTTGAGGAAAGTGAAGTCAGTTGCTCATTTGTCGTTACTTGTTCTGTAGTTGTTAGAGGTTCTGAAGTGATTATTGATGATTGTTCAGTGGTAGTGCTTTGCAGAACTGTTGCAGCAGTTGTTGTAGGTAGTTCAGTTGTTGACACAGAACTTGTGAGAACTTCAGCTGTGGTTGTTGCCAGAAGCGAAGTCAATTGTTGCTCAGTTGAAGCTTCAGTGGAAGTTGCATACTGAGTTGTAGGTACTAGTACTGTAGTTGATGTTAGAACTAATTCTGTTGTAATGGGTGAAGCTGATTGTTGTCCAGTTGTAGGCACATCAGTTAATGTGCTTGTATGCAGAGTTGTTTCTTGTTCAGTAGATAATGTTGGATTTTCAGTTGTACCAATCAGTGATTCTGCAGTGGTTGTGTTTTGCTGAGTTGTATCAAGGGTTGTTTCTGGTTGAGTAATAGTTGTTAGTGGACTTGTCAGTAATTCTGCCATGGTTGTTGTTGGAAGAGAAGTTGACTGCTCCTGAGATGCTGTAGTAATATCAGCTGAGGTGGTTGTTGGGAATTCAGTTGTAATTGGTTCAGGACTTGTGAGCAATTCACTTGTAATAGTTGAGGAAAGTGAAGTCAGTTGCTCATTTGTCGTTACTTGTTCTGTAGTTGTTAGAGGTTCTGTAGTGATTACTGATGATTGTTCAGTGGTTG